TCTTCGCACTACTCAGCACACACATGTGTGCACGTCCCCGGGGTGTTCAACTAGAAATGACGTGCTGGGTCCTGGGGTGAGTGAACGTTTGGCTGCAGTAAGTCCCGCCATAGCATTTTCCGAGTATTTGAATCAATGTGGACTCTCATGCCAGCAATAACGACAGAATTAGTCTCATTTTGTCTGAGATTAATTTTCGCCGTGCTGGGAGTTGTGCAGTGATGTCATATTATGGCTTACTCTGAACCTCCCTCTGACGCAAACTGTTGGGCAATTTCCATAAACGTCCGGGCCGTGTGAACACGCTCACGCGGGGGACGGACTGGGCTCGTCGTCAGGACTGAAGGGGCTCTGGCCGGGAGCCCGAGTCTCTCCCTGTTACGATGCCCTTTCCTGCTCACGGGTCTGCGGTCAGAGACCTGCGATGTGATACAGAAATGCAGCAAAACCTTGCTTCTCCAGCTTAATTCATTCCAGAATTCTGTTTGAGAAGCGGTTTGTTTGAGATCCCCGTCATACAGGTGACCGATCATACAGGTGTCAGCCTGAAAGGGTTGTCCGGTGAAGAATCAAAACTTTATTCAAAAACTGAGGCATATTTTCCATAAGCATTTTTGTTGTGAATTAAATTGTTCCAGATGGGAGACATTTGAGAACTGAGGTCTGACTGTGTTTGGTCTTTGTCCCTGGTTTCCGGCACAGAGCTCCTAAAACTCTTGGAGCTCCTGAGTGACAAGAATGCTAATAAGATGGCACTTGGCCGAGGGTCCTGGACAGTTTCAGGATGGGGGCTGGTCACCAGAAAGAGCAGTTTGATCAGAGGGTCAGAACTTTCAGCCTCACTGCCTAGCCTCTGGGAGAGGGGCTGGGGTTCAAGTTCAATCACCAATGGCCAAGGATTCAGTCAAATCTGCCTACATGGTGACACCTCCACAAACCCCCTAATAATGGGGTTCAGAGAGCTTCAAGTAGGGAACCCCTCCCCACGCTGGGAGTTGGGGGTGACAGAGGCTGGGCACTTGGGACCCTTCCCCACCTCGCCCCATGTCCCTCATCATCTGGCTGCTCACTTGTATTGTTTACAATAAAATGTACAGTAAACACAGCATTTTCCTGAGTTCTGTGAGTTGATCCAGCAAATTAATGAACTTGGTGGGGAGCCCCTACCTTTTGGAGCCAAGCCAGACAGATGAGCAGGTAACACAGGGGCCTGAACTTGAGACTTGCTCTGAGGGGAGGGCAGTCTTGTGGGACAGACCCTGACCGTGTGGGGTCTGAGGCTGACTCCAGGGAGTTCACGTTGGAGTTGAGCTGAACTGTAGGAAACACAGCTGGTGTCCGAGAGTCAGAGAAGTGGGTGAATGGAGGAAAACACCCCTCACCATCCCACAGAGTAACTCAGAGTAAGAGCGAGCAAGAGACCCTCTGCTTGGGATGTCATTTATTGGTCACGTGTTCCTCCAGCCAAACCTGGGTGCCTGTAATGCACCAGAAAGTTCCAGCCTCAGACCTTTGCTCCAAGGACTGAAATGTGTCTTTCTTTTCCACCCCCTACCCCAGCCCCTGAGCTCTGTTCCTACAGGGGAAGGTTCCGCACGTAGGGTCCTGGTGGGCACACTCTCCCTCCCTGGAGCATGACTGTGCTCTCCCTTCCCCCTCCCTCCCCCACAGGTGGGCGTGTCCTAAACTGGAAGGGACCCCAGGAGACTTGCAGCCAGGGGAGCGCTGGGCAGCAGCAGCTCATCCCAGGCTGACCCCTGACTGCCACCAAGGGCCCCGTTTCCCTGACTCCCCAGTGAGCTGACAGCAGCCCTACCTGGTCTCCTGTTGCTTCTTCTGTTCTAGGCCCTTCCTTGCTTCACTGTCCACAGTGAACGTTAATAACCGTGCTCTCCAAAAAAGAAGAGTGTCAGTGGGAGGCAGAGACCATGTCCCTCCATGAAAGAGGGAAACCCATGTCCCCAACATTCCTGCATCTGGACACGGCACGAGGCTCCACCCATCAGGTGACCACATGCCAGACTCTGACTCAGGACGTGGTGACACAGAGATGCTGGGACGGCGCAGAGGGCACTCGGCCAGGGTGGTGAAAGTGGCAGCAACAATGTCCAGGCGCTGGAGCAGCAGAGACAGCAGCCCGAGCTGCAGGGCCCAGGGTCTCGCCTCAGGGGAGTCAGTGGGGTGAGTGGTGACATCTGTGCCCGGCAGCAGGGCCTGCGTGAGACCCGACCCAGGCTGGGCTGTGGGCTGTTCCTGGTTGTGCAACTTGTGGTGTGTTTTGCAGCTTTCCCCAAAACAGCATTAGAACCCACTATACTGCTTTATATCTAAATTAGAAAAAATTAGGATTTCATTATTTGCTCCAAGAAATACACCTGGGGAACAGTTTCACTCAGAGATATTATTATGCTGACCTGGGGCCACCTCCTAAACCTCCCACCTGACTCCACCCTGTGGTGGAGAGAAAAACTGTAACTCCCAACATCACGTCTCATCAATGACAATATATGTCCTCCCTTTTCTTTCTGAGGAAAAACCCCCCACTAAATGTGTATTGAAGACCCCTCCCTACCCTGAGCTCCGTCACTGACCTCAGTGGTCCCGGTCTGGCTGAGCCCCAGGAGGGCTCGTGGTGCTTCTTACCAACCCCTGGCCTCTCCCAGACCCACGTCTCAGGGGAACAGGCCCCAGGCTGGGATCACTGCTGTGACAAGCCCTGCAGGCGAGGCTGATGCACAGCCGTGTGGGGTCCTGTCTGGGTTCCTGCTGCTGAATGTGTGACCTGAAGGCCAGCAGCACCCGCACCAGCCTCGTTATGAATCCAGAATCCCACTCTCTGCTCCAGACTCTCTGAGTCTTAACAACTTAACAAAGTGTGCAGGTAATTTGTGGGCACAAGAAAGTTTGGGACTCAGTGCTCAACAGTCTTCTAGATGCAGAGACAGACTGTGCAGGCGGCTCTGGCGTGCGGTCCACTCAGATCACTCAGCACTGGGGCCCTGGGTTCCCTCCTTCTTCCTTCATCTTCTGTAGCTGTCACCCCCTTGGTGATCTCGCCCACGCTCATGGCTTTAAATAGCACTATGTGTGTGGCCTCCCGAGTCTATCTGTGCAGCCCGCACATCCTCCATCTCCAGACTCAGCGGTCCACCTGCCAGTCGGACGACTCCCTGGGATCTCTCACTGACGTCTCAGCTCCACTGTCCCTGACAATGAACATCTGTGACGTCCCCTCAGATACGCTGCTTCCAGAGTCTCCCCATCTCTGCTGATGCAAGTCCATCTCTCTGCTCGTGTCCTCTGAGATGTTTGCTGACCTGGACTCCTCTCCCTCGTTCCCCACATTAAGCATCAGGAACACCGTCAGGTCCCCCTCAGAAGGCATCCAGGATCCCCCCATGCCCACTACTCCCACCGCTCACCCCGGGAAGCATCCCCAGCCTGGAGCCCAGCACAGACCCCTCCTGCGTCCACACTGCCTCCCTCGGCTCCCAAGTCTGCTCTCAGCACAGCAGCCACTGGGACCCACTAAAGGGGTGTCAGGCCATGTCCCCCTCCTGCTCTACACTGTCCCCTGACCCCGCCTCACTCAGAGCACAGTCGTGCCCTTCCAATGTCCTCCAGGCCCACGTGGTCTGGCCGGGCCTCTCTCCCATCTCCCTCACTCCCTGCTCCATTCCCACACTGACCCCCACCCCTCCCCCTCCTTCCCAGACTCCAGACACACCACTGCCCTGGGGCATTCGCACTGGAGGGTCCCCTGCCTGGACAGAACTTCCTCCAGACATCCTGGTGTGCAATGTCCCATGTCCTTCAAATCTCCCCTCAAGGCCACCTGCCCAGTGAGGCCCACACTGACCACCCAAATCAAGCAGCCACCTTCCCTGTCCCCACAGTCCACACTGGGGACCGCCATTCCCCCTGTGTCTTCCCAGACCACTCCCCCTCCCACAGACTCCTCCCTGTGTGCTGTGCTCACACCCACTGTCTCCCCACACAGCACGGGCCCCACGAGGCCTGCAGCGATCCCGACTGTGCTTCACATGTCCCCACATGCAAACCCAGTGCCACATGTCTGTCACACAGCCACCACTGCTTCACAAATGGTCAGGGCAGGTCACCTCCCTGTGCTGCAGGCTGTGTCTGTATTAACGTGGCCTCAACCACAGCTGCTCCGTGGCAGCCACAACACCATGTGCACTCACACCGACATCAATGCCCCCGCACTTTCCCCACAGAGCTGCTCCCCCGAGTCCACAGCAGACCCCCCTCTGTGCATCCCGGAGTGCGCACCGCAGCCAGCACTGCAGCGAAGGGCAGGGGGAGGGTGTTGGTGAGCAGAGCAGAATTCCAATGGGGACTGATCTAGGATGGGAAATCATGGGGTCCCAGCTCTGTTCAACCCAGAACCTGGTTCCTTTGAGAGTTTAGGACAAGATGAAAGATTGGCCCAGCCCTAGAGGAGGCAACAGCAGGATGAGCCTGACAACTCATCTCTCTGTACCACAGACTCCTGTGTGCAGGGATCCCCTGGGCCTGGTGGGGACAGTGACAGGCAAAACACCCCTGCTGCTGGCAGACAGGGGACACCCAGACAAGAATGAGACCAGGACTCCTGACAAGGACAAACGCAGTCCTGCTGCTCTACAGAAACAAAGAAGCAACAAATAAAGACTCAGAAGATGGGGCCAATGACCTGACCCAGGCCTGAGCCTCGGCTGACCCGGCCTCACACAGCCCTCGCTGCCCGCAGTCCTGGAGACGGGCTTCACGGGGACAGTTTACAAGGCCCAGGGGATGCTGGTTCCTGTGATCCCAGGTCCTGCTGGGACACGGTTCCACTGAAGGGACAGGACAAAGGGGCAGAGGGCGACCCAGTGGAGGAGGGACCACGTCAAAGCCCACAATGCACTGAGCACTGACTGGGCACAGTCCTGACCATGCTTGGTCCTCACAGCCTCTCCTGTCCCTGCCAGACTCAGCACAGCACACACAGAAGGTTCTGGAAACTTCTCATTTATTTCTTTAAAAATTTAGTATCTTAAGCTTTTTAATGAACACACCGACCACTCAGGGCAAGAACTGAAAAAACAAAGTTACATCAAGAGCCTCATTTTAACGCGGGAGTGAGAAGCTGCAGCTCAGGCACCAGGAAGCACAGACATGGATGGGGAGGGGAGAGGAGGGGAGAGGAGGGGAGGGGAGGCCCCGCCCCCCCTCTGCTGGAGCAGGGGAGTGTGGGAAGAGGTTGGTGGGCGGGTGGGCCCGCCTCCCACCTCCTCAGTGATGCTGATGGGAACACAGACAGACATTCAGACGCCAGTTGCAGAAGCAGAAGTGAGATACCCCTGAAGTCACAAACAGGGGCTGGTGGGTGTGTGTGTGAGGAACCTTCCATCACTCATTCCCCGACAGGGCAGCTGTCTCACGCTGGAGAAGAAGATAATCGTGAACAAATGTCCATCAGTCGCTGTAGGTGGTGACCTTGTCCAACAGCCCACCCTGCGTTCCATAATCACATAGAGTCCCCCCATTACTCAGTCCCATGCCCTCTGCCCCAACCCTCCCCGTGTCAGGGCCTCACCTTTAGAAGCCGTGAGAGACACATCCGAGCCCTGGGCACTGTCACTGCCTGGGGGGGCACAAAACAGGATGTGGTCAGAGCCTCCAGGGTAAGAGACTAAAGGAGGAACTATGCGGGGAGGGGGAGGTCTCCGTGCGCTCCTGTTTGCACCAACACAGGGTCTCAGGGGTCCCCCCTCCATACTCACTGGCAGCCTGAGTGTAGCTCCCTCCTTTCCCACCTGCGGGAAGAAAACATCCTGTGAGACACCAGGGAGGAGGCAGGGACCTGAGGTCCTACAGGAAGCTCTAGTGCTGGACCGCAGGGAAGTTTCCAGAACTCTGACCACAGACCCAGGGCAGGATCGGGAAACCTGAGGGAAGTTCATGTGCAGGGACTGGACCCACCGCCCTCCTGCAGGTCTGTCCTCAGCAGGGACCCTCCCCTTGGACCTGGGACTGTTGGGAAGCAGGTCCCCATCCCCAGAGTCATCAGGGTGATGAATCTGTCCCTTATCTCACACGTGCCTTCCTAACCAGTCAGTGCAGCCAGTAGGGCCCCAGCCTGGCAAGCACATGAGTGAATATGATGCTTCCCTTTATTAAAGCAGACACACGTCTCCTGGGCTTGAGACCCCCGGTGGGACAGGAAATCAGACCCCACCCACCCTACCTGAGCGCCTCCTCCCCCACATCACAGCTGCAGCCGCCACAGCTCCAAGCAGGACCAGGCCACTAATGATGCCCACGATGATGATGATGGTGTTGGTCTGAGGAGGCGGCTCTGCAAAGGGACAGGAAGGTGAGGGCCCTGCCCCCCAGGTCCTGCCCCGACCCCACTGAAGTCCCTGAGGCCCCTCCTCACCCCATCGCAGCGTCAGGGGCTCCCGCAGCCCCTCGTGCCGCACGTGGCACGTGTATCTCTGCTCCTCCCCACGCGGCACCACCACCGCCGCCCACGTCTGGAAGGTCCCGTCCCCCGCGGGCCTGGTCTCCACCAGCTCCGTGTCCTGGGTCTGGTCCTCCCCGTCCCGCCGCCAGGTCAGGGCGATGTCCGCAGGGTAGAAGCCCCGCGCCCAGCACCTCAGGGTGGCCTCCCGCTCAGAGGTGGGGTGGCGGGTCACTCGCGCCTCTGGAGGGTCTGAGGAGAAAGGTCGGAAATTTGGGAACTTCTCACGGCCCCGGGGCAGTGCAGCAGCGCTCCCGTGGCCGTCCTGAGACTGGACAGGACAGTGTGGGCGCGGGGGCCGCAAACCCCAGACCCAGCCTGGAGAGAGGCACCTGGGGGAATCCCCTGGTCTGTAGAAAGTTCTAGAACCAGAGGGGCACAGCCCGGGTGGAGGCCACTCGGCGCGGAGAAAAGCGTTTCTGCTTCAGACCAAGGGTGCGGGGAGTCACAGGGCTACAGAGAGTGGGGGTCGGACCGAGGCCCGCGGGTGCGGGGCGGGAACGGGCCTGAGAGAGGAAGTCCCCGCGGGCGGGGGCGCCGCCAGGGTCAGAAGAGCCGCCGACCGGAGATCTCGGGGGCTGGTCCCTCCGTCCCCGGAGAGGCTGCCCCCCACAGCGTCCCTCAGAGAAGGCGGGGTCGCCCTCCGGTCCCGGGTCGGAAAGTCCGGGCGGACTCGGTCTCCCGACGCAGAGGGGGTTCTGACCCTGGTCCCGTGTCCCGTCTCCCTGTGGAGCCCAGCCCGAGGGAGGGGGGCGCCCCGAGAGCCCCGGTACCTGCGCGCTGCAGCGCCCCCTTCCCGCGCTCCAGGTACCGCAGGAGCGAGTCCCTGCACAGGCCGTGCACGTAGGTCCTCACGTCCACCGCCTCACCAGCCGCCTCTAACTTGCGCCGGGTGATCTGAGCCACCGCGTCGGCCGCGGTCCAGGAGCGCAGGTCCTCGTTCAGGGCGATGTAGTCGGCGCCGTCGTACGCGGACTGGAGATACCCGCGGAGGACGGTCCCGTCCGGCCCCACGTCGCAGCCGTACATCTCCTGGAAGGTGTGAGACCCTGACCCCGCCCCCCCCCCCCGAGGTCAGCAAAGCCCGCTGAGACACCCACCCTGCTCGCCCCCCCACCCCCGGCAGGGATCAAACCGAAACCGAAACCGAACCCGGGTCAGAGTCCCGCGGGCTCCTCTCGGGGTGAAGCTCGGACGTGGACACTCGGGGCGACCCCGCCCGTCCGCGGGGAGGGGGGTCGTGCCCGGCCCGGCCCCGCGCGCTCACCGTCCGCGCTCTGGTTGTAGTAGCCGCGCAGGGTGTTCAGGTTCCCTCGGAAAGTCTGTGCTTCTCCCTTCATGTCCCGCGTCTCCCTGTCCCAGTACTGCGGGTCCTCCTGCTCCTCCCACGGCCCCTCCATCCACGGCGCCCGCGGCTCCATCCTCGGGTTCGCGGCGTCGCTGTCGAACCGCACGAACTCCGTGCCGTCCACGTAGCCGACGGCGAAGAAGCGGGCCTCCCCGCGGCCGGGCCGGGACACGGCGGTGTAGAAATACCTCAGGGAGTGCGGACCTGCGGGCGGGGAGCGGTGAGACCGGCGGCCCTCCGCGCGGCGCGGGTCCCGGGTCCGCGGTCGAGGTCGAGGGGACGGAAATGGGGGCGGGATCCGGGGTCCGGGCCGGGGCGGTTGGGACGCGGCCTCCCTGCGGTCCCGCGCCCCCGCCGGCCCGCGTTCCTCCGTGCAGAGGCCGCTCCCTCCCGACCCCGCGCTCACCCGCCCCGGCCGAAGTCAGCGCCGGTGCACTCGAGAGCAGCAGCAGGAGGCTCGGGGACAGTAGGAACCCCATTCTCGGGGTTTAGGGAGAAGCCGAGTCCCACTGATCCAAGGAGACTTACTACCGGGACGGCGGCGACACTGATTGGCTTCTCTAGACACCGGCCACCAATAAGAGAGGCACCTGGGGTCGTGTCACGAGTATCTGGGAAGGAGGCCGCGGCGCAGGTTGTGAGATGCGGAAGTGAAACTGGGAGACGGGAACTCCCCTGCGCGGAGCTTCCCGGCCCGGACTCCGCCCTCGGGCCGAGACCCGGAGCGCCGGACCCAGCACCTGGGAGTTTGCCCTGATCCCCCCTCCTCCTGCTCTGAGAGCTCTTTGTCGCAAAGTGTCCCTCCTGTAGCTGGTGGGGCAGGTGCTGGGCAGGTGCGGGGCAGGTGGAGGTCGAGTCACCGGCTGTGCAGTTTTTCCAGGCAAGGCTGATAAAGCAAGGGGGAGCCAAGGGGCAGAGTGAAATGATGCCTCACGGAGGTTAAGAGGAGGGAGGAGAGGACCCCGAGGGGTGAGGGACAGTGAACAGACGGCAGGAGCACAGACTGGGACCTCAGTGGGCTCCAGGGGTTATTGGGGTGATGACTGGGGCCTGGAAACAGGCACCGCTGTGAGGAAGGTTTGCTGACCTCACATTACAGCCTGTGATCACATAATCGTGCTGGTGTTTGCGGAGCTTCGGCCACTCTGCTTTTAGGGTTCATGTGACCTGACTGGACCACCCAGATAATGCGGGGAGTCTCCCTGTACCATGGTCCTTAACCTCAGTGACATCACCCAGGTCCCTTTGCCACGTGAGGAAAGCTGTCACAGGCTCCAAGGACCAGGCTGGGCATCTCTGGGGACCACTGTACAGCCTCCCACCTCTGATGGTGTTGACGTCACTGAGGGTCAGGGAGGCAGCGCTCTGGGAGGGGACAGTGGGCCAGGAGCTAAAAGAAATGGGGGAGTGGCCTGGGGTCCACAGGGAATCCCTATGAGGGGGGAGTGGGGGCTCCAGTCTGATGGCACATTGGGGGTGCTAGGGAGGAGGGAGGGGAACAGGTCAAAGCAGAGGAGGAGCCAGGACCTCGCCCCCTCCCCCGCCCAGGGCACCAGGTCAGAGGGAGGGGGGGACACCTGTGGGAGGACTCCAGAGGGAGCCGTGGCCTCAGGGAGACCCGGGTTCTTGTCAGAGCTTCGAGGTGCAGGGACTTCATCCTGGGGGAGGGCTGTGCAGGTTCTGGTCCTGGGCTGAGCACTAGGGGGCGCAGTGGGCAGGTCTCAGGGGTTGGGGAGGAGGGGGTGTGCGAGGAGGACAGAGTGGGGGATGCAGAGCCTGTGGAGACGAGGTGCAGTGTGTTTGGGGACCAGGGGTGCCTGAGACAGACAGGGACAAGGACAGATGAGATTGGTCCTGGTGGCTTCAGGGAGGATGGTGGTGAGTGAGAGGATGGGGGAGGAGCAGGGGTTGGGCTCTCCCTGGGGCTCTGTGGGTGGGGGAGGAGGAGGTCAGGGGTGGGGGTCTCAGTCCCAGTCCTGACCCCTGACTGTGGGGTGGAGGGCCTGGGGAAGAGGCAGGGTCTTGGAGGACGTGCATGAGTTCACTCTGAACCCTGAGAGAGGGGCTGTGCTCACTCCAGATCTCAGTGTGACAGCTGCTGTTGGAGGTGTGACTTCTGGGGCATGGGGTGTGACCCTGGTGCCAGGGTCCCTTCTTGTCCTGCTGAGGGGACAGAAGGCCCAGGGCAGCTGCGGTCCTCATCCCAATTGTCCCGATGTTTGTACCCACACTGGGGAGGATTTAGACATTGAGGTGCTGTTCCCAAAAAGAGATGATTTCATTTCAAAAACTGAGTTTAAAAGACAGAAACAGGTAGTAGAGGAAAATGGCCTACTTTCAGTTTCCCTGGTGTCACTGTGGAGGGGAAGGAGGGAGGGGTACCGGGAGGGGGTGGGGGCATCAGGGATGGTCCGAGAGCCCCTGAGCCTCCTCCTCTCCAAATGGGGGACATTGGCAGGATAGTGTAGAGAAGTTTATATTATTTGACATTTTATAATATTAGGAAATTACAGTTATTTTCTTCAATGTAATAATAATATTGTTTGAAGAGAAAGCTTATTTTCTCAGAGGTGAATATTGAAATATTCAGGGGAGAGGGTCATGATGCTGGCAGGTGATTTTCAAATGTGTCAGCAATAATTACAGAAATACATTCCATCAGTAAAATAGGACAGAATATCAAATTGGCTAAACCTAGAGTGACCTCCATGTTGGTATTTCAAACTTCAGGTGTCTTTTAGGTAAGCTTTCACAGTCCTGTGGAGAAAATGTTAGAAATGATGATGCACGCTGACATAGGATGTTTGTTCACAGTCTGATGTTACATGGGAGTTAGGGTTTAAGTGTGAGTATGCATGTATGTGTGTCTGTGAGTGTGTGTGTGAGAATGTCAGTGTGTGTGGCTGTGTCCCTGTGGGCGCACTGTCTGTGTGTTGGTGTGCAGCAGGGCGTGTGCAGTCTGTGCGTTCACTCAGTCACTCACTCATTCACTGAAATGTTTTAAAATCAGGTTTCAGGGCAATTGAAATCCAGCTGTGAAAATGAAATCCCTGTCCTTGTCCTCATAAAGCTTGTGTTCTCAAGGAGGGACAGACAGTAAGCACTTAAATAAATATGTTGAAAATGTGTGTTAGTGAACTGGGTGTGAGCAAAAGCAAAGCAGGTGGGGTTGGAGGGAGGCTGGAGGGGCCCCGGCAGGGGCGGTGCAGGGAGGGCTGCTCAGCGAGGACAAGGACACTTGGGGACACTGCCAGGGAGGGAGAGGCTGCCTGGTGGCAGGTTTTCAGGCCCAGGACCAGCAGTGGGAGCTCTGAGGTGTGACAGCCTGGATTCCTGGGCTGGAGGAACACAGGGAGGACCCGGATTCCAGCCCCTCACACAGCCACAGCTGTGCCAAGGGGACCTGACCTGGAAAGGGCCTTGCAAATGTAACACATTTAGAAAAGCTCACTCCAGACAATCCATGAAGTCCACCTGGGGAACTCCTCCCTCCCCAGACCCCAGGCACCAGGATCCCTGCCAGGGAGGAGCATGTTACCAATTTTTTATGTATCCTTCCTGAGGAAAACTTCTGCAAATATTGTTACTGTTGCTACATCAGGAAGGAGTACTATGAAAAACAGAAAGTAGATAAAATGTTTCTTTTCAGTTGGGGGGGGAGGGGGTTGTCATCCCGGGGCTGGAGAGAGGGGTCTCAGTGGGGAGGTGGAAACCTCAGAAGTGGCCCAAGCCTCCTGAGCACTCCTCTATCAGTCCTTGTTCAGTCCCTGACCTTGACATTGTGGAGTCCAGGACTGCTCAGAAGCTACTTCATCCCTGACCGGTGCCCAGCCTCCAGGTCAACCAGCTCTGACCACTCACAGCACAGGCCTCCCAGGGCGCAGTCGGCCTCCGGGAGCAGCGAGGCAGCGCCCCCGTGTGGCCACAAGGCAGACGACAGAGGACCCTGCTCCCCTTTCTGTTGCTCAGTCAGGACCTCCCAGGGTCTCCCTCTGCTCCCAGCACCAGAACAGGGCTTTGAACACAATAGGGGATCCCCATCCAGTGTCAGGTTCGGAGTGCAAAGTGTTTCTAAAAAACCACACCGACTTAGGTGTTTCCTCCCCATTGAGTCACCGTGGACCCTCCCTCAGGGAAGGGTGAGGTCTCCTGGCCATGACCACAGGTTCCCAGGTCCAGGATGGATCCCACGAACCAAGTAAGTGCCCTTAGTCCCCCAGAATGGGACCCTGGACACCCATGTTCTGTCACTTATTCCTGCTGCTCAACTGGGAATCAGTCCAGCAGGTCTCAGAACATGGGGTGGGGGCAGGGGCTGGGGCATTAGGTCCGGGAAGGAGAGCATGGTCCTGAGGAAGTCAGGGTACACAGAAGTAGGCACATCAGAGGGGCAGGGGTTGCAGGCGGGAAAGAGGAAGGAGCCAGGAGGAGAGCAGCAAGGGGAGGGCTGGCCATGGGTACACCTGTCCCTGTTTGGAGACAGCAAAGGGCTGTGCTGTCCCTGCAGGGATGAGCCCTGGTCCCACATTCCTGGGGATCCCAGGGTCCCACTAACTGCACTAGCACCTCCCTGCCATGTCTGCGCCCAGTCCTGAGTAGCAGGTTGTCACAGCCTTCAGAGGTCCCTCCCTGCCCTAGGACAGGACAAGCCCTTGGGCCAGGCTGAGGGCCCCTGAGGACCTGGTGCTGAATGTGGGTGAGGGCTGCACCCACTGTGGGCTATGGGACCTCAGTGATGGGACCCAGGCTGCCCATTTCCCAGGGGTGGTCCCCACACCCTCTGCAGCTCACTCCCCGAGGACTCTGGGATCCCCTCTCTTTCCTCTGGGGTCACCCACGCACCACATCTGCAGACTGGACCCTCCAGGCCCTGCTCTCTGCTGCCCCCAGTCCCTGAATGAAGGAACCCTGCAGCCTCGGCCCCAAATCTCATTTCTACCCGGACAACTGGCCCACCACCCTGGGGGTGCTATGGACTGAATGTTTGTGTCCTCAGAGTTCACACTGAAACCTAACCCCAAAGTGCTGGTGTGTGGGGGTGGGGCCTTTGGGAGGTGATTAGGTCAGGAGGGCAGAGCCCAGATAAAGGAGACCCTGGGGAGCTCCCTCGCCCTGCCCACCCTGAGAGGACACAGTGAGAGGACACAGTGAGGGGACACAATGAGGGGACACTGTGAGGGGACACAGTGAGGGGACACTGTGAGGGGGCACAGCCGCCTGTGAACTAAGAAGTTGGCCCTCACCAGACCATGAATGTGCTGGCACATGATCTTGGGCTTTCGGCCTCGAGAACTGTGAGAAATACATTTCTGTTATTTATAGCCGCCAGTCTGTGGTGTTATTTTGATAGGGGTTTAAGACTTGGGAAAATTTAACTTAAGGTAAATAGTCATAAATCTAGCAAGTAATGTGTATGTTAAGTTTTTGTTTCAGCAACTACAGATAAGGCCCATCCTGGCGCCTAAATTTTAAGCAGTTGACCTCCTGGGGCATTGACTGGGGATTACCTGGTCTGGAGACATCTGTACCAGGAAGAAGCAAGCAACTACCCTTCCCCCTTGGAGGCAACTGTTGAATTTCAAAGGCTTTCGCTGACACCTTGTTTGCCCTCCCCCAGCTCCCTTATAAAAGATCTGGCTGGGAAGGAAAGAGCAAGATGGTTTGTTAGGGTATGAACCCGCCATCTGAATAAAGCACCTATAAAAGATTCAATCACTGTCATTGCTTATTCGATTTAGTAGTGACAGGCAGCCCGAACACCGGTGTCTTTTCCAGTTACAGTTTTAGCAGCCCAAACAAACAGGGGTTCTGAAAGCGGGGGAAGTGTCCCCCAGAGCCCTGCGTGCGGCAGCTGAGTCACAGCTGCAATCTGAGCATCAGTCACCCATGACCCTGTGACCTAGACGGACCCCAGCCCCAGGCCAGAAGACATGAGGGGTGGTTGGTGGCCAGGTGCCTCCCATCTGCTGCTCTTCGTGGTGAGACCAGAGCTTGGGGAGGCACCGAGCATCACACTTCATGAGGGGCTCAGGGAATGGAGACCAGCTGGTAGGCAGCAAATGCACACGTCATAGGGGACCCCTGTTGTGGACAGAGTTGAGTCCCCCACTATTCTATGTTGAACACCAGCCCCCTATGGGATTGTATTTAGACACAGAGCCTTTAAGGGGACCATTAAGGTTAACCGAGGTTATGGGGCGGGGCCCTGATCTGATAGGTCAGGCGGGCTTATAAAGAAAAAGACCTCAGATTCCTAAACCCAGCCCCGCCCTCCCCTCCCTCCTCACACAGGGGAGGGGCTGTGTAAGGGCTCAGTGAGAAGACAGCCGTGCACAAGCCAGGAAGAGGGCCCTGGAACAGAAGCCAAATTTCCCGGCACTTTGCTCTTGGACTTCCAGCCTCCAGAACTGTGAGAAAATGAACTTCTGTTGTTTAAGCTGCCCAGCCGGTGGTACGTGGTTACAGCAGCCCGAGCAGACTGGGGCAGCCCCCAAACCAAACCCGGCAGCCCCTCCCGGTCCCAGACTCAGCTGTGAGGAGCCGGTCCCAGCGCATGCGCACTCGCTCACTCACGGGCTCAGTGAGGCCCCTGCGCCAGGCTTCTCCTTAGTCCTGGGGGTCGTTCAATGCGAACAGACAGCACGCCTGCTCTCCTGGTGCCCACAGCCTGACCACAGCCAGGAACATGTTACCAATTTTTTATGTATCCTTCCTGAGGAAAACTTCTGCAAATATTGTTACTGTTGCTACATCAGGAAGGAGTACTATGAAAAACAGAAAGTAGATAAAATGTTTCTTTTCAGTTTGGGGGGGAGGGGGTTGTCATCTCGGGGCTGGAGAGAGGGGTCTCAGTGGGGAGGTGGAAACCTCCCAGTCCCAGACTCAGCTGTGAGGAGCTCAGACAGGGGAAGACAGACGGTGATGAGGACACACTGACGGTGGGGGATTACGTGGTCTGTGTTCCCGTTACCTGCCGCTGGGGAACAAACAGCCCACAATAAACTTTGTTCTCTCCTGTCTGTGGTTGACTGGGTCCGTGGGCGGCTCCTCTGCCCCGAGTGACAGGGGCTGGGGCTGCTGTCCCTGGAGGCCCGGCTGGTCCAGAACATTCCAGAGGGTCCCTGACGGGCTCATCAGGTGCTGGTTGTGCTGGGAGCTCCCTGGGGCTGCTCACCAGGTGGCCCGGGGCCCCTCCGCCCGCTCCTCCCCTTGGCTTGGCTGCTCCCAGCCGGGCCCCTGCTCCCAGGAGGGCGTGTTCCAAGTGCACAGTCAGAAACCACAGGCTCCTCCTGTCAGAGCCCCAGCCTCAGTCCCTGTCCCCTTCCTCGTGTCCCAGTCGTCAGAGCCACTCACGGGTCCGAGGGGAGGGTGTGGGGTCCCCTCCTCTAGACAGGGGACGGCCAGGTCCCATCACAGAGAGCCTGTGGGTGGGGGAAGCTGCTGAGGCCATCTCTAGGAAAAGAACCTTCACAGTGTGTTAGACAGTGGTAGAAGAGACAGAGAAAAAATAATTCACAGCAGACAATCAGGGCAAAGTGATGGGAGAGGTGGCACTTTTGTTTATTTTCACTTTTCAATTACAGTTGATAGTAGTATTTTATGTTAGTGTCAGGTGTACAGCGTAGTGGTCAGACATTTACATAATTTACAAAGTGGTCCCTGGTAGGTGTAGTACCACTGGGAACCATTCATAGCCATTCCAACATTATTGACTATATTCTCTATAGCAGGGGTGTCAAACTCATTTTCACTGGGGCTACATCAGCCTCGTGATTGCCTTCAAAGGGCTGAATGTAATTCTAGGATTGTATAAATGTAACTACCCCTTAACTGGGGCAAGGAGCTCAGCACTGCCACCGGGTAGAAACAAGGTGTGGGCTGGATAAAACAAGGCGGAGGCCAGATTCGGCCCCAGGCCTTGTGTTTGCCACCTGTGGGCTATACTGTACTTTATATCCATGTGACTATTTTGTGACTGCCAATTTGAAAAAATTTTAAGTTATATCATTGTTTTAAATAATGAAATAAGTCAAACATTTTAAATAACATTTTTGGCTGTTTGGATTATTTCTTTAGTGAATTGTTCATATTTTTTTGTTTGTTTGTTCAGACTTTATTCAGCCCCTACGAAGGTGGAGAATTTGAAATTCTTAATCCCTCCACCTTGTTCACCTGGCCTCCCCTCCCCTCCCCTCTGGCTACCACCAGATTGTTCTCTGTATCTGAGTCTGTCCCTATTTTGTTTGTTCATTTATTTTGTTTTTTGATTCCATATATAAATGAAATATTTCATTTAGCATGACACTCTCTAGGTCCATCCATGTTGTTGCAAATGGTAAGATTTCATTCCTTTTTGTCCTAGTAACATTCCACTGCATACATGGACCACATCTCTGCCTGATACCATTTTGGTCAGAGGAGATGCTTGATATGATTCCAATCTTGTTAAACTCACTGAGACTTGTTTGATGCCCTAACATGTGGTCCGTCCTGGGAAATGCTTCTGGTGCACTTGGAAAGATGTATGTTCTGCTGCGTTGGGGGAAATGCTGTAAAATACCCACAAGTCCCTCAGGTCTGATGTGCCATTGAAGGCTACCGTTTCCCTGTTGATGTCTGTCTGGAAGATCTCCCCACTGATGACAGTGGGGTGTGACAGTCCCTTCTGTAACTGTACCACTGCCACTCTCTCCCTCCATGTCCATCAGTATTGGCTTTACACACGTGTGTAGGGGTCCCTGTGTTGGGTGTGTGCATGTTACAAGGGTTACAGCCTTTTGTTGGGTTGATCCCGTCATCACTAGGAAATGTCCTTGGTCTCTTATCACAGCCTTTGTGTCAGAGTCCATTCCGTCTGAGAGCCCCCCCACCCCCCCGCCGCAGCTGTCTGCTGGTCTCTGTTCGCCTGAGACGTCCTTCCCGCCCCCTCACTCTCGGTCTGTGTTGTCCAGTCTGAGGTGGGTCCCGTGTGGACAGCACGTGTCTGGGTCCTGTTTTCTTATCCATTCACTGGTGGGAGCATTTAATCCATTTACATTAATAGTGATTATTGACAGGTATGGCATTGTTACCACTTTATTACTCATATTTATGTTTGTTCTTACAGTGTCCCCTGCCTGGGTGTGTGTGTCCCCCTGAGTTAGCTGAGCCGTGGTTGCTGCTGGTGCTTCTGTGGATGGGGCTGACCCCCAGGCCCACCGGCTGTGAGTCTGGCCACAAACATAGCACATGAGCTGCTGAGTGGGGACTGAGCCGGAGAAACAGGATTCACTCCAGCAGGGCCTGGGCCTGCAGATGTTTTGTATGTTTTGCTTGTGGTGCTAAGAAGGTGGAACTCTGCTGGGGTCTGAAGCCGGACACTGAGTGTGTCGGGTCTGGGGCCTCTTGGGAGGGCCTGTGGTGCAGGCCCAGGCCCATCACTCCCTGGTCGGAGCTGCAGAGGGAGCCTCGGTTGGCAGCTGTCTGTGCTGGGCCTGCAGGCAGGTGGGAGAGACCACACTGTGACCGAGGCCAGCTGCCCCCAGGGTCAGGCCTGGGGCCGGTCAGCAGAAGGCACAGGGCACCCCGAATCTTACTGCTGCCTGAGGCACCTGTGAGGCTCAGCCAGTGAAAAAGCCTCAGGTGGCACCTGAGCTGGATGAGGCTTAGGGAGTCACCAGGGTGGGGGGGGTGGTGTTCAGCAGGCCAATGCAGAATCGTGTTTGACCTTGTGCGGGGAGGGCCATCACAGGAAAGGGGCAGCTGTCCCTCCAGCCCTTGCCCTGAAGCTGCACAACTGTTTCTCCCTGTGTGTCCCTGGCAACACCTGAGCTGCTGTCCCTCCTCTGGAGCCTAGGGTGAGTGCCCGAGGGAGTCTGTGCTGGCCCTTTAAAAGGAACACCTGGGCCCTGAGAAGTGTAGCTCTCAGTGGCTTGGGCATTGTGTCTTAAAGGGACAGGTTGCCAGTTCCATTCCCAGTCAGGGCATATGCCTGGGAGTTGGGTTTGGTTCCCAGTTGGGGTGCAGATGAGAAGCAACTTATTGATGTTTCTTCCTCACATTGAAGTACCTCTCCCTCTTTCTCTTGCTCCCTTCTCCTCTATAAGCATGTCCTTGAGTGAGGATAAATACCAAAAAATTCTGCTGTTTAAAAAAAGAAATAAAAGGAAATTTTGGCATCCCTGCAGCCCTCTGTCTCCCCCAGTGAGATGGAGTCCCCGCTGGTTTCCACAGCCAGGTGCTGTGGGGCTCCTCTTCCCACCACTGACGCTCCAGGCTGGGGAGCCCCGTGTGGGGCTGGGACCCCTCGCTCCTCAGCTGCCTCAGATGTCTCTCCCAGTTCTCCACTGTCACCCGTGGGAGTGGGGCCATCCCGCTCCCTGTCTCGACCCCTGTTAGCAGTCTCAATGTGGCTTCTTTATACTGAGTTAAAGGACTCTGGTCCATAGGTTCTCCAGGCTGATTGTCCTGTAATTCAGTAGTAATTGGATGTGGTCATGGGAGGGACAAGCGTTTACTTTGCCATCTTGACTGGAACCCTGACATGGCAGTTTTAACTGGGGTGGTCAGAGTGGGCCCACAGAGGTGACAGGTGAGCAGACTGAAGCAGTGGAGACCCTGAGCCCCACAGGGATGTGGAGGAGGGACGTCCCTGGATCGCCCTCTGCGTGTGCCCAGGACCCTGATGGGGGGGGTAACTCTGCTGTGGGGACAGAGGGGGGCACACATGGCAGCCGTCTGGCAGGGGTGTCTCTCCCCACTGGATGGAGCTGGGGGAGGGAGGCGGCACTGCTGTGTGGGGGAGACTAGGGGAGGAGGGAGGAAGCAAAGATGGGGGAGAGGAGGTGGGAAGCCCACACTGTGTCTCTGCTGTCGCTCCTCTGCATCCAGTGTCCCCACGTTGAGGTGACTGAGGTGGGACGGTGACGCCGTCACACTGTGAGAGGCTGAGTGTTCATCTCTTCTCCTGCCAACCACAGGCTGCCCTGGCTGCAGGGAGGGACGTGCTGACTGTGGACCCAGGACTGAGGGGGACCAGACCTGGGGGGACAGGACACATCAGTGAGAGACAGCTGTGGGTCCCCCCCCCCGCCCCCAGAGAGGAGCTGAGACACACCTGCCTGGTGGGGCACCTGAAGGGTCCTCAGTGTGACCTGGGGTGAGGTGCTGTCAGAGCCCAGGGGTGAAGGTGAGGGAGGGTCTCAGCCACACTCTGCCCCAGCTCTCTGCCCCTGTACCCAAGGCCCTCCCTGCTCTCCCCAGTAAAGAGGCCAGGAACGTCCTCAGTCTCTCTGGTCACTCATTTGGAAGTCCTTCCTGCTCTCACCTCCTGCCTCCTGCTCTCACCTCCTTCATTCCTGCTGCACCTCATCCTACCGCCCTGGCTCAGACCTCACCCCTCTGCCCTCCAGTGTTGGGAACAGTTCACTTCCCACTGAGCAGTGGGCTCCAGGTGAGAGGCTGGGCTCTGCCTGAGGCTGAGAGAAGGAAAGGCTCCTGGCCAGGGGTTGGGGAGGGAGCACGGGCACAGCCAGAGGAAAAGCCGAGGGGGTGGAGGAGGTGATGGGGAAAGATGTTCTCACATCATCATCATCGTTTTTCTCTCACAATCTGAGGGAGCCACCCTCTCCCTAGGCCCAGGGCCATGACAAGAGCAGCAGGAGGAGAGAAAGATCCCACATGAAAGAAAAATATAACTGATTCCTCCTTCTCATTCTTGCCTGTTCTGGTCAATTTGGTAAGTGAAACTTGTTACTGAAACTTGAAATTATTCCTCTGAGGAAAATCTCCAAATACTGGGGAATATAATTATTAATGAGTAAGCCCCGCAGACGGGACAGCAGAGGCTGTAAGAACAAAGGCGTGTGCGGGGACCGGCCACCGAGTGCTGGGTCCTGAGGCTGCACTGACCGAGCTCTCAGGTGGCGCTGAAGTGAGGCCCCCTGTGAGCTGGGTGAGCTGGGGCAGCTCCTGGGACCTCTGTGTCCTCTTCAGAAAAGGGAGATGAGCCCCGATCCTGGTCTGAGATGTCATCCTCCGATAAAGGGAACCAGGCTCCTTAGAAGAGGAGCTGACTCCAGGGCTGAGACAGAAACACCAAGATGAGCCTGGAGCGCCCTGCACTGCCAGAAAGGCGGTGCCCCCCCCCCCCACGGGGCATGTCACAGGGACGTGGGGACAGCCTGGGGGGGCTCCCCACAGACACAGCTGGGACAGTGTGAGCTCCATGTGACACTGGTGGTGATTATAGCCCAAACTATAAAGTTAGTGCCCGTGAGCTCATACTCATGTAAATGATTGAAATTTTTTAAAATGACGGCAAATCTTCCTTCTAGATTTCCAAGTTACACATGAAGAGGATCCCCCTTCCAGGAGATGGAGCTGAATTCCTCTCCTTGAATTTTGGCTGGATGGGGCAACTTTCTTCCAAAACATAGAACATGGAGAGTGAAAGTTACCACTAACGGTAAAGTGACTAAGTGACCCTTGAACAACATGAGTATGAATGGTGCAGGTGCACTTGCACATGGATTTGCTTCAGTGATGTGTGCGGTGTTGTAAGTGTATTTCCTCTTCCTGATGACTTTCTTAATGTTTTCTTTCACATAGCTCCTCTGTGTCAGCATACAGAACAAAATACAAACAACACACAAACTATGTTAACCAACTGTTATTGGTAAGGCATCTGGTCTACAGTAGGCTGTTAGTAGTTAAGTTTTCAAAAGTTACATGCAGATGCTTACAGTCAAGATGACAGTATAGGTAAGTACAGCTCATCTCCTCATACAACCATATCAAAATTACACTAAAATATAGGACAACTATCACTCAGGACTATCAGAAATTGAGTTGAATGGAAGTCTGACAACTATGGAATTAAAGAAACCACATCCATCCAGACTGGTAGAAGGGGCAGAGACATGGAATGGGCTGGCCACACTTTCATGTGTTGTGGGTAAAAATTTTGGAGGGATAGCTTAGGAACGAGGAGTAAAAACCCCACACCAGGTCCCCCAGCCCAGGGTTCCAGTGCCAGGAAGATAAGTCCCCATAATTTCTGGCTATAAAAACTAGTGGGGATTGAGTTTGTGGAGGAAACTTCTGGAGTCCCAATCAGTTCTCCTTAAAGAACCCACATACAAACTTAGACTTACTTCTTCTGAGCTTCAGCACTGGAGTAACAGCTTGAAAGGTGCCAGTGGCAAACAGGGAAGAACTGAATGGTCTGACATCAATGTGGGAGCTGGGCAACAGCTTTATCCCAGACAGAAAGATGGGCAGGGGCCATTGTTTCTTTTCTGATTCCTCCCCTAACAGAGCCACAAAGCTGGCGGTAGTGGGGGGCATGATATCGGAAACTCCATAGACCTGGCTAACACTGTTTGCCCTGTCCTGGAGATCCCATGAGACTTCGTCTCACCCCACTTATGGGCCCACCTGAACTGTTAACTGTGACTTTTCCATATGAATGGCTGGTCTTGTCTCATGCTTCACAACTTCCTAAATCCCATCAAACAAGCAACCAGCTGGCCTCAGTAAGCCCCCAACCCCTGTACCTCTTGCTAAGTAGCTCCAGGCCTCAACTAGTGGCAGCCAACCTAGATTCATAGCTTGGCTTCACTTGGGAGTCTCCAAGACAATTACTAGTAGTAACCATCTCAGGTGGGTTTATAGCTTATGGAGGGAGGCCCCAGGCAGAGCACAGGTGGGGGCTGACTTTGGGCTACAACACCAGGGAAACCCAGAGCCTGTGCACTCAGTGGGCAGCTACAGACCATGTTGGAGCACCACCACCCTGCCCCTGCACAGCTGATCCTCTATGGAGGGCAGAGGATGATGGCCAGTGGTCACAGCCAGTACTTGTGATGAGGGAACTCAAGAGAGGGAAACTTTTAGTTTAAGGTAATAATTAATAATCCTAGTGGTTAATGCATATGAAAAGCTATTGTTTCAGGAACTGCAGGTATGGCCCACCCTGACTCCAAGAGACCATAAACAGTTCTACCTTTGTGCCTCAGGAGGACTGCAAGCATAACAAGATGGTATCTGAGCCATTGTGCTTCAGAGTGAGATGACCACCACCTGAGGCACAGCTAAAGACCACTGCCCAGGGTGAAAATGCTCCTGTTTTTTTAATCCAATTAACTTTCTCTGGATTTCCAAACCTCTTATCTACACTTCATTCTCCTTATTAAAGGGGCCATTTTTACACAGAATTTAAGACAAGCTGTTAGGATACAAACTTGCCATCTTCTCATATTGTCATCTTTCTGAATAAAGTGCCCATAAAGATTCAATCCCTGTCTCTGCTTCCTGGGTCTGGTAGGTAACAGGCAGCATGAGTGCAGGCTTTTCTGGTTTGACTTGCAGCTGACTGGCCTGTGTAAATCCCTCTCATTGATCTGCCAACAGCAATCAAGACTCAACTACAAGAGGAGGGTATACTCAGCACACATAAAGGGCACATCTTGAGTACCCAGACTGGGTGATAGGGGAGGTTGTGGTACTGAACCCTACAGGACATCTACTATATTAGGCCAAACTACCAAGATAGGGAGTCATAGCAGCTCTACCTAACACACAGAAACAAACACAGGGAGGCTGCTAAAATGAGGAGACAAAGAAACATGGCCCAAATGAAAGAACAGATCAAAACTCCAGAAAAAGAACTAAACAAAATAGAGATAAGCACTCTATTAGATGCAGAGTTCAAAAGACTGGTTATAAGGATGCTCAAGGAACTCAGCGAGAACCTCAGCAGCACACAAAAGACCCAGTGAGAAATGAAGGATATACTAATTGAAATAAAGAACAATTTGCAGGGAATCAACAGTAGAGTGGATGAAGCCAAGAATCAAACCAACAATTTGGAACATAAGGATGCAAAAGACATCAATCAGTACATCAAGAAGAAAAAGTAATTCAAAAACAAAAACAAAAACAAAATACAGGATAGTGTAAAGAGCCTCTGGGACAGCTTCATTGTGCCAACATGCATCAAAGGGTGCCACAATGAGAAGAGAAAAAACAAGAACTTGGAAATCTATTTGAAAAAAATAATGAAAGAAAACTTCCCTAATTTGTTGAGGGAAGTGGGCATGCAAATCCAGGAAGCACCAAGAGTCCCAAACAAGATGTATGCAAAGACAACCCCACCAAGAAACATCATAATTAAAATGCCAAAGGTAAAGGTAAAGAGAGAATCTTGAAGGCAGCAAGAGAAAAGCAGATAATTACCTACAGGGGAGTTCCCATAAGACTGTCAGCTGATTTCTCAAAAGAAATTTTGCAGGCTAGAAGGGATTGACAAGAAACATTCAAAGTGATGAAAAGCAAGGACCTACAACCTAGAATACTCTGTCCAACAAAGCTATTATTTAGAATGGAAGGGCAGATAAAGTGCTCCCCAGACAAGGTAAAGCTAAAGGAGTTCATCATCATCAACCATTATTACATGAAATGTCAAAGGGACTTGTTTAAGAAAAAGAAGATCAAATCTATAAACATCAAAAGGGCAACAAATTCACAATTATCAACAACTGAATCTAAAAACAAATTAAGCAAACAATCAGAACAGAAACAGAATCATAGATATGGAGAACATTGGGATGAAACAGTTGTGGGGGGTCTGGGAGAATGAGGGAAATGGTGAAGGGATTAGGAACTACAAATTGGAGTTACAGAATAGGCAGGGGGATGTTAAGAGCAAGCATAGGAAATGGAGTTGCCAAAGAACTTACATGCATGACCCATGGACATGAACAAAGGAAGAGGTATTGCTGGACAGAATGGGAGGTACCGGGTGGGGGGCAGGCAAAGAGAAATAAATTGGGACAACTATAATAGCATAATCAATAAAATATAATAGAATAAAAAATAGTTAAAAATAAGCCAGACACAGAAATACAAATACTGTATAATCTCACATATCTAAGATAGAAAAATTCACAGAAACAAAGAGTAGAATGGTGTTTATTAGGGGCTGGGCAGGTGGAAATGGGGAGATGTTGGCAAAGAGTACAAAGTTTCAGTTATATAAGACGAATAAGTTCTGGACATCTATGTACAGCATGGTGACTACAGTTAAAATGATATTGACATTTGTTAAAAGATTAGATGTTAAATGTTCTCACCATTCATAAACACACGCAGAGAAAATGGTTACTATGGCAGTGATGGATATGTTCATATTAATTAGTTCAATTGGCAATCATTTCACAACGTATATATATATATTCAAACATCAAGTTGTATACTTCTTAAAAAGACTTTATTTAGTTTTAAAAAGAGGGGAAGGGAGGGAGAAAGAGAGGGAGAGAAACATCAATGTGTGGTTGCCTCTCACACGTCTCATACTGGGGACCTGGCCCACAACCCAAGCATGTGCCCTGACTGGGAATCGAATTGGTGATCCTTTGGTTTGCAGGCCAGAGTTCAATCCATTGAGCCACACCAGCCAGGGCTCAAATTGTATACTTTAAATACATTTAATTCCTATTTGTCAATCATACCTTAATAAAGCTGGAAAAAAATCCCCAGGGTGCGCAAACACATGGAATCACCAGAGAGCTCATTGAAAACATACATTTCCAGATCTCACCACCCACTGGACCTGAGTCTCTGGGCAGTGGCTCTGGGGGAATCTGTGCTTTGGAGAAGACCTGCAGGAGGCCAGGCTGAGCAGAGCTGGTCTGGGACCTGCTGTCCTGGAGGACAAACCTGAACCCCTCTGGCTGGCCCCGGGGCTCCCTGCAGTCTGGCAGCTGACTGCTGCTGGAGAGGGTGGGGTCACAGCAAAGGTCTGTGGCTCTGCAGCATCCTGGAAAGGCCCTCCATGGTCCCCATCCAACTTCTGGTCTTGGGCATTTCTCTCACCTTAGCGACTTGCCTAAACTCACATCACTCTAATTCCTACCCTTTGTCCATTTTCCCAAGAAAAAATGAAGCAAAAGCTGTAACTCGCACAGCCTCTCACACTCCCACCCTTCATCCTTTCATTGTCTCTGTGATAGGGTCCTGTCTTCTCCACTCTGACAGGAAAAAGCCTTGAATGTCCTCTTGGTTCTGCACACACCTCACCTTTCTCCTTCCTGCTATACCCCGACTTCCTGAAAGAACAGCACAATCTACCTCCAACACTGCTCTGTTCTAGCGATGGCAACTGAAGACAAATAAAATGCCATCTCAAGGATCTTACACCCAACCCCCATCCCCACCCCCACCCTATTTTTCATCCAATGTTAGTGTGACTCTTGTTCCCCCTACTGCAGCCAACCTGCTCTCCCCAAGATCTCCCTGACGTCCAAACTCACACTTCAACCTGTCTTTACTTCCCTTTCCTAAGTCACTGCTACCACTGTTCACTGTGCCTTCAGTCACTCTCTCAGCCTCAGCCTCTATGCGGCGACTGTAACGGGTGTGGAATGAGGTCCAGAGCTGGGTGCAGGCTGAGAGGCTCTAAGGCCTCTACTGCTTGGGGGATGGAGAAGCGGCAGCATAGTGATTAAGAATTACTTTGCATGTAAATAACAGCTGACTAGTATTATAGAAATACTAATTGCTGTGCCACCAGAGATGAGGGAGATGGGTCAAATTTTAACTTATAGCTCATTGTGGGTGGCAGATCACCCTGTGCCCCTGCCCAGACTGATAAGGTAGTTGGGGAAAGCTTTATCTCACCTGTGCCAAAAGCATGAAATACTAAGAGATGTAGAAGATTCTGCAAGAGTATTTAAACTGGGCACTCATAGCGATTCTCTTTTTTTGGACACACCGTTCCAGATTAAGAGCTGGAGACCATGGAGACATGGCTGGTGGTGCTGGAAACTGCGGGAGCCTAGCTGAGCTCTGGCAACTGGGAGAAGCCTGAACACTGAATGGGAACCTGCCTAGGCAAGCTGCAGACTTCTTTGTTTTTGTTTTTCCTGAGAGATGGTACCTCTGACTGGCCTGGTTTGGCAAGAGGAGGCAGAACTGTGTGTGTTTATGGGTGTTTGGTTTTAAGAGACTTTGAGACTTTGATAGAGTGGTGCCGTCATTCTAAATCCATATAACTTTTACTAAATACTCCCTTTCCTTTTCACCTAACTCTGGCACTGGGAGTTACGTTTTTTGGTGATGGGCAATAGAATCCCAAATCTGTTCCAGAACCACATAGCCCAGCATTCTGTTACACCACTTCTCTGCCCAGACTCTCCTAACACCTTCTCTTTACTTTCTGGAACTTTCTTTTAGCCAATGTCAATCACAGTTGTCCACATTTCTAGGAGACAGTCGTGTTGCTCTCTTCTCATTGGATCTCCTTCCCTGGATGATCTCATCCAGTCCAGAACCTTCTCCTCAGCCCCACAACTTTCACTGTGACTGTGCATCAGACAGTGCACTGGTGTCCCTCAAGCATCTGAAACCCAACCGCCCTCCCACCCAGTGTTTCTTCTCAACAGCACCTGCTGCAGAGCCACCAGCCCCATTTCCCCCAGCACACACCTGGAAGCTATCCTATCTCCCTGTTCCCCTCAGCCCCACATCCAGCAGTTGCCAGAGCTGATAAACTCCTGAAGGTCTCATCTCATTTCATTCTCAGCCCCACTCTGGTCCTCAGACTATCTTCCTCCCCATCAGTGTCAGCCCAAAGTCCCCTTCATGCTTCATGCAACAGCCTGCAGTCGTTAGCTTGGGCCCACTGCCCCTGTTCTCTGGGCTGAGCACTGCCCCACGCAGCCCTCACTTGGGTGTGTAGGGCCTAAGCCTCCCCATAGCTTGTAGTTGTGTCTGCACCCCTGTCCCCTGTGTCCCATGTCCACTTGAGGACCTGCGTCTTTTCCAGGTCTCAGTGATGGACCATCCCAGCATGGTCACTGCCAGTGCCCCCATGTTGTAGTCCAAATGTAGACACTACTCCCAAGGGTGGGTGTGTCTGTGCATCAGGTGCTGTGTCCTGTTAGGTACCCGGCATTCAAAGTGCCTCTACAAAAACAAATATTCTCCACAGGAAGTCACATACCTGCTGAGCTCCCCAAGTGGCCCAAGGCTGAGCAGAGCACCATGGATGGCCCCGGCATCCTGCCCTGCCCCTCCTGGGCTCCTTCCCTTGCTCTCCCCAGGATTCAAATCCTGGGGGCTCCTGACCATCAGGCCAGAGAGCACTGGCCCAGCACCCTGTGCTCCTAGTGCTGCTGAACCTATCAGCCCTGCTCTGTATCTGTCCTGCTCCTGCTGCATCTCTCTCACATTCATTGAGACGTATATGCATTACTTTCAATGTATAAGGTTCTGGCTCTTCTCCCTCAAGCTTCCCACCTCAGCACTGGCTTTCTAAATACTGTCTCTTCTAATAGTGAGTTAGGGGACCATAGGCAGCTCACAGAAACTCCCTAGGTCTCCATGTTCTCACCTGTGAATGGAGAGTATTAACTGAAGTCCTTTCTCACACTGAAAGACCCTTCGCAAGGAAAATAAGATAGTAAATAAACAAACATCAAACACATAAAGATATACATTGTGACTCAATGTGAAGGGGTGACTCAGTGACCTTTAGAGAGGTGCGGTCGTACTGAGGAGAGAGCAATTGATTCTGTTGGCAGCTGGAGGAGGAAGGTGGGGACATTTCTCACCGGGTCTCAGGGAGGAGCAGAATCTCACGGGGGGGAGAGGCCTGAGCAGAGGTCCAGCTGGGACAGAGGAGCTGGAAAATGGAGGGTGTGGTTCTCTCTGACCCCCTTTCCTCCACTGTCATCCTGGGGACAGTCTGGGTTCACATGTCACCTCCTCCATGAAGCTTCCTCCTATTTCTTTTGCTTTTTCACTGTTAAGTGCCCTCTCTACTGCATCAGTGTTACATCTTAAATATACCTTCATTTTGTTGTGCTGCATTGCTAGAAATATGGACATAAATGTCTTGAAGCTTTCTTAAAGCCTGGTGTAAGAAAGCTTCCTAGCTGGCAAGTTAATGCATCTCCTCACTTCTCAAGCAGGGCTGTGGAGAGACCTGACTCAGAAGGTGTGGAATGTGCCCTGACCAGTGAAAATCATCACGACCTCCAGAGACCCATGGGGTGGACGCCGGGTTCCTAGAGGCATTAATGATGTAATTTTTAATATAAAAATGCGGCAGCCTCTACATGCTGCTCCTGGCAGGGAGAGCCGCCAGCAGCGCTCTGGCGGGTGTGTGTCTGCACAGAGGTGACGGTGACCTGGCACATGGCTGTTCCCTCCGTCTGAGTCCCTGGGGGCCGCTCTGTTCTCAGTCCCATTTGGGAATCAGGGTGGTGAGAGTGTTTTTTTTCTGTTCATCCTCTTCAAGTTAACTTCTCAAGGCAAATACCTACTGTCTTCTGCTTTTACTGAGTGTCTAACATAGTGCTTAGTGAATGTTTGTGCATTAGTAAGTGAATGAACCAACACATAAAATGAACTAGGTGCTTGGAACGTAAGAGGAAACTCTAAACCTTATGAAATGTGTATTTTAAATAGCCATCTCTCTTATATCATTAAAAGAATATTTCAAATTTCAACATCAAAGCTAATGTACCACACAATTGCTGAGACATCATTTAATTACATGTATGGCAGCTGCAAATGTTTTTAAATGGGATGCTCACCTGTCTTTCACCCCGTCAGGGGAGGACTGGGAAAAGGTGAGCCAACTGGGGGAACTAAAGCCCCAGATGAAGCTGCCCTGCAATCCCATCCCTAAATATTGGGAAGCCTCCCTGATGGTAGAAGAAAGTAGGACAGAGGTTCTAGGAGCAAGAAGGGGGCTGTTTAGGGGTGATCTGTCTGCTACCTGTGTCCAGAATAACTCTGGTCAGAATGGCCAGAATAACTCTGGTTCCTCTGGTGAGCCCTGTCCCATCTCATGCTCAGTAGAATCCACACAGTAGGTGGCAGAGGACAAGGAGAGGGGGTGGGTCTAGCCTTAGTAGTCACCAGAAAAGCCTTTTGTCTACAGGGTCATTGTTAAGGCAAGACCCCACTTCTTGGTGCAGATGTCTGACCTGCCTCCTCTCCCGGTGCCTGGTGCCCCAGGACCCTGAGCCTGGGGCCCCTTTTCTGCCCAACAGTTGGAGGAGGAAGGTGGGGACATTGTGCTCTCTCCTTCTGCCAGCCCCTGGCCCCTCCCCTCCCCGCTGACCCAGTTCCAAATGTGTTCCCATACCTTTAACCAGCTAGTCCTTGTTTTTCCTCCACAATGATCAGTCAGGGAACATGTGTCAGTTTACAAAAATAATTTTGAAATTTTGGGGGTAATATCTACCTTTTTAAATAAAGGCTCAAATCCCAGCTCTACTAATTAGCTGTGACCTTGAAAAGGAAGAACCCTAAGTTTCCATTTTCTGAAATGTAGACTAGTTATAACACTGTTTATCCTGAAAGACTGACGATGAGAACAGGACAAGTGAACTCATGTAAAATGTGCAGCCTGTGTCAGCCCCTCCCCCTCCCGTGTGTGATCAGTTTTGTACGTGCACAGTTTAAAGGAACTCAAGAAAGAGACCTGTGCGGCCCATGGGCTATGGGAAAATCTGGAGAGAAGGTGCCATTTGGACCAGACCTTAAGGGTTGAAAACTTTTCTTTTTTATTTTAAATTTTATGTACTTATTTTTAGAGGGAGGGGAAAGGGAGGAGGAAGGGAGAGAGACATGGATGTGTGAGAGAAACATCGATAGATTGCCTCTCCCATGCCCCTAACTGGGGACCTGGCTCACAACCCAAGCATGTGCCCTGACTGGGAACTGAATTAGTGTTGTATTGGTTGGCAGGCCAGGCTGGTGCTCAATCCATTGAGTCACACCAGCTAGAGCAGGGTTTTTGACTGTTTGCTGACTAAATCTTCCCACCTCCCATTTTCCCTAGTAATTTTATTTACTTGGGAGATAAAGAGGACAAAAGAGTAGGTACAAAAAGCTCAAGTCTACAATTGTTTCTGCAGCTGCCCGGGTGGTATGACGGGGCGGGGGCGGGGGGAGACCTGGGACTGTGGCTGGAGGGTCTGGGGCAGTGAGGGTAGAAAAGGGGGAGTCCAGTCAGGAGGCTCACTTAAAGTGTCAGAGCTAAAAGGATGTTGCCTCTATGAGTCTGGTTTCTTCAAGCAGATGTGCTGCCTCACCTCTTGCTCACTAGGGGTTGCCCTCACTTCCTTAAGTCCAAGCTTCCCTCTCAGAGATTTCACCCCTGGAAATTGAGGAAGCAAAATGAAGACAGTCTATCCTGGGTATATCCTAGACTAAAGTGTGGAGGTTCTAAAGAGGAAATATTCAGGAAAGAAAAGGTAGAAATTAGTGAAAAGCTAAGAATAACTAGTTTATAGCCCTTCCTCTCATAGTGTTGGGTATAAATTTGAACTAGGAAGTTAAGGAGCCTTCTGATCAATAAACATAGGACCCTAGAAGCCATCATGTTAAGTTATCCATAGGGAGGCAGCACAAAGAAGGGGACTTTTCCTGTCACTACTTCCGTGGTCTTCTATGTACCTACACATTCTCATCTGATTCTTTATACAAATCTCAATTCACTCTAGTACTCTAGTGGGATGCAGTAAAAACACTGCTGAGGAAAGAATTTATAGCTGTAAATGCTTATATTAAAAAAGAAGAAAGACCTCAAATCAGTCACCCATTTTACAACTTCAAAAACTAGCAAAAGGAGTACTAAACCCAAAGCCAGTAGATGAAAGGAAATAATAAAAATTAGAGCAGAGATAAATAAAATAGAGAATCAAAAGACAATAGTGAAAATAAACAAAACCAAATGTTGTTTTATTGGGAAAGATTAACAAAATTGAGAAACTATTATATAGTTTGGCTAAGGAAAAAAAAGTAGAACAAATTACTAAAATCAGAAGTGAGGAGGGGGATACCACTACTAATTCCACAGAAGTAAAAAGGATTAAAAGAGAGTACTGTGAACAACTGGATAACTAGCAACTCAGTTAACCTAGATGGAATGGACAAATTCCTAGAAACACAAAACCTATGAAGACTACATCAACAAGAAATAGAAAGTCTGAGTAAATCTGTAACTAGTAATAAGATTGAGTCAGTAATCAAAAACCTCCTTATGTAGAAAATCCCTGGAGCTGATGGCTTTGCTGGTGAATTCTACTAAATATTAAAGAACTAATACCAATTCTCCTCAAATTCTTACAAAAAATGAAAAGGAGGGAACACATTTTAACTCATTCTATGAAGTTAACATTGCCCTGATACAAAGCCCAGGCAAAGACACTGCAAGAATGAGACCAATGTCTCTTATAAACATTGATGCAAAAATCAACAAAATATTATTAAACTAAATC